CAGCCTTGTTGTTACTGTGACCAAATTCTTCAGTAAAATGCAAGCAAGTTGCCTTAGATTGTAAATGACAAGAAAATATAGCCAACATTAAAATGACTGAAGATTCGCTATATAATTTCTTTATATCTCAACAGGTATAGTACGTTTCACTTTAAGAGAACAGAAAAGATTTAACTCAAAGCTTGAAGTCTAAAGTTATTCTTCTTTCATTGGTGGAATCCTGCAGTAATTTTCCAGAGAACACAAACCAAAGGGTTTTGGGTGTCTTTTGATAGACAATCATCATCGGTTCTCCATGGCATTCAGTTTTATCTCAGTCAGGAGCCTCTTGCACCTGCAGATAATTGCAGATAAGAACCATGACAGTTGTGCAGTCAGACTAATCTGACTAAACTGTTGGCTACTGAAGGTGCTTGAGGGGCAAATTTAGAAAGTCTGTGACATTTTCTAAAGTAGGCCTGTCGCACTGTTGAATCCTGAAAATTTCACATTTGAGTGGTAATCAAACGCTGCACACACTGTGAAGTAGTCTAGTTTTTATGAAACCTATAAAAGCAGATTTGATTTAATGAGGCTCTACTCACATTTACAGATATGACTTCATAGTTCACGCAGCAGACACAGCACTTTCCAAAGCAGCAGCTGTGTATTTTGGGCTGATGGAAAAAAAGCCCTGAAGGTTCTGGGGAGCCCATAACATCGGTTGATTGAGACATTGCTTAATTCAATTGACAATGGGTTGGTCAAGTTACATCTTTAAACTAATTCACTGCTGTGGTAAACATCTAGAAAGAACCGCAAAATCAATAGCAAAATTTAAAAGAAACCATAACAAACAAAGAAAAAAAAAACAAACAGGACTTGTTTTTTTTTGAAAACCATTGTAATGATTTTGTACTTTTATTTAATAGTGTCACAAAACCTGTACTCATTTTTGATTTAGTAAAATTTACCAAAATAAATAAACAAAAATACACAGATAAATAAATAAATCTGTTTTGAGTGTGTGAAAAGTATGCATACACGTATGCGGTGCATATTTATGTGTATACATTTCCCACTATTTATACCTAATTTTATTATTTATTGTATGCAATCAAGAAAACACATACGACAGTTATCAAGGCCTCTCATTTCAGCCGTGTCTAAGATGAGAGATTTAAAGAAAAGCTTTACTGGATGTTACTGACTTGGGAGTCTAGAATCACTTAGAAAGGAAAGGAGGTTTACTCACCTGTAAAGTGAAATCATTTGACCACTGTGTGATGTATGACTCTTATTATTTCACAGTGGAGAGGCTATTTATTTTCCACAAACCCTTTTGTCGTTCTTTTGACAGAGGTTAAAACACCCACTGAGGGTCAGATTGGAGAAAATTTTATTTTAGGAGGATTTTCTGAAAGATTATTGTGCCAAAGAAGAAAAAAGAAAAAAAGTTTTTTTTTTTTTTCCAAGCTAAATGACATTTAAAGCAGATAATTGTTTTGACTTTTTACTTGAATATGAACCGATGTTAATAGGGTAGTTTTAAGGTTAGGGTTAAGGCTAGCCCTAACCCTTGCCATGAATTTAATTTTTGTGACTTCATTTGTTTGTTTTTTACTTCTCTTCATGTTAACTATGAATGTAATGATAACTATGCCCACCAAAATGTGGTAAATTGTTCTGACAATAGAAGTAAAATGCGTGTTCTGTGTGAGATTATTTGCCCCTAACAGATTTCTTCTGTTTTTATTTTCTCGACATCATCAAATTTTGTGAGTTTGTTGAAAAGCAACTAACTGGACACAACTTGTCACCAGATAATACCATGACGAGGTCCCCCCTCCTGTTTGGTCATTTGTAAATCAATGTGATCTTGTTTGCCATTAGTCTTGTTTTCAAATTTTGTTATTAAAAAGTTAGTACTGTTGCATCATGTCAGACTGAGGTGGGCAGAGGAAAAGTGCAAGCAGCGGGGGAACGCACGGTGGATTATTTTCCACACATTCTGTCTGAAAGATATTTTTGGGTCACCTGTTGCTGCAGACATTTAGAAACCCAGTAGTACAGTGAGAAATCAGTTGTGAGGATGGCACCAGCAGGTTGTTGCTCATGCATTCTTTACTTTTGTACGTCTGACATTTGCAAAGCTGCCAACAACAGCATACCGTCTGTTGTCAAACTGGAAGTATATTTACAGAGAAGCAACAAAATCATATTGCTGGTTTGTCTATTTCGGTTGATTATTTCAGGTGCAACTAATAGTGTTCAGTAAAATTATTTCCACTTTATTTTATCGTGGTGACAGTATCTAACCAGCTAAAATAACTTTCAAATTACTTAAGGGTAGACTGGCACCAAAAAATAGTCTGGTAACTGGAATTGGATGAATTTCAGTTTAAAGGTCCCGATGCAGCGATCGAGTGGTTGGAAACAATTTTTTCTTTTTTTCTTTTCAATCAGTGAAGAAATCCAGCTGAAGTACTACAAGTGATAATGTAACATCACCACTTGGGATTGAGGTTGCTACTGAAAGAAGATGACTGAAAGTTAGCTATTTGTTGAACATGAAGTCAGATTAGACATTTTCACGAACTACAAAGCAGAGCAAGACTTTTGCAGAAAACGTGACGAACAACCAAATCCTTCATGGACATGATGGATTTGAAAATGTTAGCAACAATGTTAGAAAATCACGGACACGGACGACTTTTAGAAAATCACGGACACGGACGACTTTTAGTTACAGCTAACCAATATGTAGCTGTCAAAATGCTGAATGAAATAGTCCACATTACGGTCAGGGTGATTATTACTGTAACCTCACTGCAATAACATTTTCAAAGGAATTTTAGTTGGGGAAG